GAAGTTATTCCCTAATGTATGTAGAACAGATCATTGATGAGCAGCATATGAAAAATGAAGGCAATATTACACAAAGAGAAAATGTTATAAGAAGAAACTCAGAATTTATCTTTTGAAAATTAATCACTTTTAATACTGAAATAAAAACATTAATAACTACTAATCCCCCTCCTTGGGCAAGATTTAATTTAAGAGGAAAAAGAAAGTAACTTTGAGAATAACTTTTTTCCATGATGTTATCAGCAATAAAAAATCCTATCCAAAGTGCAGAGTGTGAAGACTGTATTCCATTAATTTTATTTTAGAGCCCAGACAGACACTGCTGATTGCTACAAAAGCCAAATGACATTATTACTGGGACTATCAAGTCACTAGGTCACTAGCAATGGTTGCCTAAGGACACAATCCTTTGCATGTATAGACAGAAAAAGGTCCTATAACTCCCAGCATTCCCCAGGCTGCATGGATTGTAGAGCATACTGGGAGTTGTAGGATTTTTTTCTGTCTAAACAGGTAGAGCATGTTGCACTAAACCTGTTTTAATATAGTCATTGGTTTTCACAGTGATAGAGAAAAGGCTCTAGTATGCTACAAACCATTTTATGAGCCATCCAAAAAGCCACTGGTTCCTACAAATGACTGAGGATGGAAACAATCCATAATGTATGACTTCTATCCAGGAGTATTAGGAAGAAAGGCAGATTGCCTACCTGTAACTGATGTTTTTCAGGTGGTCATTTATGCATTCACACATATGGGCTCTGTGCACATGTTTGGAGCTCATTCAGGAAGATTCCAAAGTTGATTAATTAGTATATGGCAGGAGCCCAGCCCCTAGCAGTTTGAAAACTGAGACTGTCATCAAGCATGAACCCCTCCATAGAAAGTAAGGGGTGTATGAATCCCATATGTATGAAGCAACACAGTGGGGATGGTGGGTGGGCATATGTGAACCACTTGAAGAACAATAGTTACAGGTAGGCAACCTGCCTTTCTTCATCAGACAGGCGGAATAAGATTAACAAGGCCTTTCAGGAACCTCCAGATGAGGGTGTGAGAGACAATGGAATACCCTTGGAGGGGGTGTGGAATGCATAAATGGCAGCTATATAAACCCTGAATGAAGAGGGTTTAAGACCTTTTTTATATAAGGAATTGAGGATGGAAAGAATTTGGCTAACAGAAGCTCTGTGTGATTGAAAATTGGATTGGGATGCAGTTAGAGAACACAGTCCGTTTTGAGTTGTATGACCTGAATGTACCAGGTTTCCAGGAAGCATTGAGGATCTGCTGGATGTTGTGCAGTAATTCAGTCTTTTAATTTGAGATTACATGATCCTCCATGCTGTAAGACAGAGTGTGAGTATATCTGGATGAAGGACTGTCCTGCAATCCCAGGAAAGGAGGTTGGGTTGAAGGGATGGTTGGTAATAGGAACTGGAAAGGATGAGAACAGGGGGAAGTCACTGCTGTCTGGACCACCATGGTGTGATCAGGATTGAATCCATGTGATCTTGACAAATTTTTGCTACCACTTTTGGCATGCGGGGAAAGCCGGGGAATAGCTAGAAGAAATTCTTGTTCCACTGGAGGAGCAGAGGAACTAGAGATCAAATTGCCAACATATGGTGGATCATGGAGAAAGCTAGGAAGTTCCAGAAAAACATCTACTTCTGCTTCATTGACTATGCTAAAGCCTTTGATTGTGTGGATCACAACAAATTGTGGCAAGTTCTTAAAGAGATGGGAGTACCAGACCATCTTATTTGTCTCTTGAGAAACCTGTATGCAGGTCAAGAAGCAACAGTGAGAACTGGACATGGAACTACTGATTGGTTCAAAATTAGGAAAGGAATATGGCAAGGCTGTATACTGTCGCCCTGCCTATTTAATTTATATGCAGAGCACATCATGCAAAAGTCAGGGCTAGATGAAACACAAATTGGAATTAAGATTGCCGGGAGAAATATCAACAACCTCAGATATGCAGATGATACCACTCTAATAGCAGAAAGTCAAGAGGAACTAAAGAGCGTCTTGATGCGGATGAAAGAAGAGAGTGCAAAAGTTGGCTTGAAATTCAACATTAAGAAAACTAAGATCATGGCATCCAGTCCTCTCAGTTCCTGGCAAATAGATGGGGAAGAAATGGAGGTAGTGACAGATTTTATTTTCCTGGGCTCCAAGATCACCGCAGATGGGGACTGCAGCCAAGAAATTAAAAGATGCTTGCTCCTGGGGAGGAAAGCTATGGCAAATCTAGACAGCATACTAAAAAGCAGAGACATTACCCTGCTGACAAAAGTTCATACACTTAAGGCTATGGTTTTCCCAGTTGCAATGTATGGCTGTGAAAGCTGGACCATAAGGAAGGCTGAGCGCCAAAGAATTGAGGCCTTTGAATTGTGGTGCTGGAGGAGACTTCTGTGAGTCCCTTGGTCCGCAAGGCGATCAAACCAGTCAGTCTTAGAGGAGAACAATCCTGAATGCTCTTTAGAAGGACAGATATTGAAGATGAAACTCAAATACTTTGGCCACCTAATGAGAAGGAAGGACTCACTGGAGAAGACCCTAATTCTGGGAACAATAGATGGCAAAAGAAGGGGACGGCAGAGAATGAAGTCGCTAGATGGAGTCACTGAAGCAGTCGGTGTGAGCTTAGGTGGACTCTGGGGGATGCTGGAGGAAAGGAGAGCCTGTTGTCCATGGGGTCGTGATGGGTTGACGTGACTTTGCAACTAGCACAGCATAACATCGCATATGCAAAAAAGGGGGAGATAATTAGTAGAACTAAAAGACAAGAAACAGAAATAGACAATCAGAATAAAGGAAAGCATAAATGAGAGAGAAAGGAGCAAAAGAGAGATTCAGAAGATGCTTGTGAGCTAAGAGGAGATACTCTAAACAGTCCATAGCTAAGTCCTGAGCAGAGTAAAGAGCAAGCAGAAGAGGGAACTGGAACTGTCTTTCCTTGTCCGAATACAAAAGAAAGCAAAGCAACTACCTGCATAACTAAAGCAAAGGAGATCAGAAATTTACCTCTTAACTATACATCTGCTACTGAGTCTGAGCCGGTAGTTTGTGGCCCTCAAGTCCTTCTCAGGGGATGATCTATCAGTCAAGGGGTTTGTCAGTTGACCTACCCATACTCCAAAAGGTCCAAGAAATGCAAGAACAAAGACAGAGACAGAGTGGTTTCCAGCATCTCCAAAGGAACCTTCTGAGTCTTTCTACTCTTTACTATCTCACCTTTTCCTGTAAATAGGATGATGAGAAACTGAACCTTGAAACTCTTATTTATCTTGATAATCCCAAGAGGGATAGCTGTGCTTGTCCATTACAACAAAATCAACCATAAGTCTTGTGGTACCTTAAAGACTAGGAAAGACTAGATTTGGGGACCCAGTCCACTTTATCAAATGCATGAAAAATTATTGTCAACCCTGTAATGTATTAATAAACAATTAATGCATTCCAAGTGGCTCCTATCTCTTTTAAATGTTATCATATAGGATTTGATTACCCTCCATGATCCTCCCCATGAAAGCGGCAGCCCCTCTGAAGTATGTATGAAATATCTGTCCACTTCTTTATTTAAATTCATCAAAATACACACTACATGAGCCTATTATGTGTGGTAATATTCCCCTTAGAAACTTGAACACACATTCTGTATCACCCTGAGAATCTTTCTCCATGTAAAATACAAAGGTCTGTTCTGTTCTGTTCATGGAAGTAGAGATATGCTCACAGATGAACCCATTTTATTCATGGGACTTTTTTGTGAATAGAAGAGCCTACCTTTCAAAGAACAGGCCCTTTAGACATCATACAGTTTAATAAATACAAATTCTGTTCATATTACCTGAGAAGAAAACTAAGGTTTCAAAGTAACTTCATTCCTTTATATTGTAAAATACCATTGTTTCACATAATGTATAGGCTTCATAAAATCAATTTAATGCAAATAACTGCCATATAGAAAAATCCCACAAAGAAGATAATTTTCCAGGGATAACATAAGAGTAATTCACAAACATGTTTACTTAGGAGATTCATATTACAAAGAAAATCTTATTTCCCAGAATAAAACTGAGTATAATTTGAAACAAAACAAATAGCTTGGCTTGAACACAATCCACTTTCATAAAAAGCTTTCAAAGAACACTGTTTTCTACAATACTATGATCAACAACCACATATAAGCAAAGGTATTTAAATAACTATTAAAGATGCATTGTGAATTAAACACTGCAAGTTAAATATAGAGCACGTTGGTCATTACTGTAAAGTCCATGTAGCAAAACTGACTATTAAAGACCTGCTATAAACCAAAAATTAAAAAATCCTAACCTGGCTTTTGAAGATCTTATCCTCAACATGAGAGCATATTTTTCATTGCTGGCAATGTACTTTGTTTATGGGTGTTAGAAAATTCCATCAAATATTCCAAGAAAAGGCTTAATATCATCTTCAGAAAGCGGATGCCTGTGGGGGGGCACAAAGGAAGCATTGTCTTTAATATAGCAAACCTTATACAATTAGATTTTATCTGCAACACAATATGAAGCACTATTAAATCAAATTGTTGTGTTAAGAGCACAATTATATGCATAGACAGCTGAAGACAGGCAGTTAGTTGTGAGCTTATGGCCTTTCTGAAATATGCTTTTAGATACAATTATGCAAACTGAAGACCATGCACTTGCAGAACCTACACAAATCCTTTTCATTACCTGAGATCAGCCTCTTTTGTCATTCTTTTGTTACAGATAAAGAAGTCCCCCTTTTCAGTGATTTGACAGGAACCTGCTCCTGAGGCTGCAGTCAACGGTACACTTTGCAGTTTTTGTGAGGAATTGTCCTCTTCCTGAAAGCCAAACTAAAATACAAAAATCACAGAAATAAAATTGAATTTCAAAATAATCAGCTCAAAGTCATTATCACACCAAAAGTAGAAATATGTACATGTAGTATCAGACTATAGACATTTTACCGATGTAGACTGAGTATAATTGAAACAGATAGATTAAACATTGTATATGTATGGGTTTTAGGACTATTTAAGATTAGGGTTGAAGCCCAATAGGATCAATGTTGATACCAGAAAATATAAGTGCTAAGGATGTGGTTATTCCATGCTACAATGTGTAGACCGTATTGTAACTAGGTGCAGAATATTGCTTTGTATGTTCATGAGTCAAAGCTTACTGCCATGACAACACCCTTCATGGCCAAATATGTTGAGTTACCCTGTTATGTAGTCAAACCAATGGATGAAATAAAGGGCAGGGGGTGGGGGTGAATACATCAAAGGCACTATGGATATCACAGCATAATTATCATTCCTGACATGTTTGGGATAATCCTTTATACCATAACTGCAACTGACACTGAGTGTTTGAAATTAACAAAATTTGACATGATTGTATTTTTGCCATTACAAGCAACTAATAAACAACTGTACCCAACTAATTTGCTGGCACATGCAACTGTGCATCACTATTTAATTCTCAATGGCAGCATCTCAGTCCTGTAACACTCTCCACAAAGAAGTCATCAGACACCTACCTTATTATCTTATTATATTTTTAGATATATTAAAAAACAATGTTTTATTTATTGATTTGATCTGTGTTCTATCTTCCTACCAAGAAAAGTGGCATTCAGGGCAACATGTAATCTTAAGTAAAACTTGATTAAACAATAATAAAACAGTTCATTAAAACACAGCAAAAACACAGCAGTAAATAAGAACAGCATCCAAGCCAATAGATCCATGTACATGCCAAAGACCTGCAATAAAGTGTTCTTTGCCTGCTAGTGGAATGACAATAGAAAGGGAGTGAACTTAACCTCCTTCAGCATCCAAGTTCAAGGCAGAGTATATTAGTACACCCAAATGGCAAACCTGAGTCTTCAGAGGGAGTGTAACTGCATCTGGCAGTTTGATTCCCTATTCCCTGATGCCCTTGACTAACAAGGATGACTCTGTCTTGCCTGGATTAAGCTTTGACTTGTTTGCCTATATCTGGTGCATTACCAACCATCAGACACAAATTTAAAAGCTGAATGACATCCTTCAATTTAGATGGAAAGGAGAGAGCTGGTTGTCATCAGAATACTGATGGCACTGAACTTGAAAATTCCAGACAATCTCTTTGAGCAATTTAATGTATATCTTAAATAGTTTGATAAGATGGAATCCTGAGGAGCACTAGAGCCCAACAGATATGGCACTTAACATGAATCCTGCTGAACTACCTCTGAAATTGGTCCTCCAGAAAAGACCAGAACTACTGTGTAACAGAGCCTCCCTGTCCTATCTCAGAAAGACCCTGTAGATGAATGCTGTGGGCAATACTGCTGAAAGCTGCAAAGAGGTGTAGAAGAAAGGCAGGTTGCTCACCTGTAACTGTCGTTCTTCCAGTGGCCATCTGTGTATTCACACATATGGGTGCTGCGCCTGCGCAGTGCCTGTGGCCAGAAAGATTTAAAGCTTAACGGTTTTGGCAGGAACTCTGCACCCCTCCTCCCCTACAGTATAAGAAGGCGGAATGCCCGCCATTTCCTCAGTCTACTGGAGATTGATCGTTTGCCCCCCACCACCCATGGGAGCGTTAGGCATTGCAGGGAATCTGCTGAGCAACAGAAGCACATGCAATAAGTCCATACTTTAAGAGAGAAACTACTAAGGGATCCGCTTTTAAATAAAGAACAGTACCATAGGAACCCAGTCACCAACACCAAGCAGGGCCAGCGGGTGGGTTGTGTGAATGCACAGATAGCCACTTGAAGAACGACAGTTACAGGTGAGCAACCTGCCTTTCTTCATTGTGGCCTCTGTGCATCACACTTATGGCTGACTAGCAAGCTTATCGAACCCGGAGGCGGGGCAATGTCATCATTGGAGAACAGAAGAAAGGATTGCCCGACCAAAGGAGCAATCATGTCTGGCATGCACATCAAGGTGTTAATGTCTGGCAAAGATGCAAGGAGTAGTCCAAGTGGCAGCCTTGCATATGTCCTGAATCGGGATGCCAGCAGAAAAGGCAGAGGAAGCTGCTACTGCCCTCGTGGAATGCCCTCTGGGCATGACAGGTAAGTCCAATTTGGCAAGCTGATATGCCAGTTCGATGGTCTGCACAATCCATTTTGAAAGACTTTGGGATCCAATAGGAGAACCCTTGTCATGTTCTGAGTACTTGATGAAAAGGCGGTTAGATTTGCAGAAGGACTCTGTGCGAGACCTGTAAAAGGCAAGGCAACAACGAATGTCAAGAGAGTGAAGCGATTGTTCTATCGGTGCAGATGGAGTGGGGAAGAAAGCTGGTAAGACGATGTCTTGATTAATATGGAAAGGAGACACAACCTTAGGTAAAAATGCCAGATTGGTACGGAGGACGACCTTCTCCTTATGAAAGTTGAGATAAGGAGGGTCTATATGGAGTGCACAGATCTCACTGGCCCTTCTAGCGGATGTGATAGCAACAAGAAAGGCAGTCTTCCAAGACAAGAGGCGTAAGTCAGTAGTCGCCAGGGGCTCGAAAGGAGGTCTAGTGAGTGACTGCAAGACAACCAAGAGGCACCAAGTAGGAATAACTGGTCTAAGTGGTGGTTGTAGGTTCTGTAATCCCTTAAGAAATCGACAAATGAGGGTATGAGAAAACACCAAAGAACCCAGCACATGGCCATGATAGTGGGAGATTGCAGCAGTGTAAACTTTAATAGATGACGGCTTAAGTCCAGACTGATGTAGTGTTAAGTGAAATTGAAGAATATTTTCAACAGAGGCTGAATGAGCAATAAAGCTATTAGATTCAGCAAAAGATGTAAATCGCCTCCATTTGGCCGTGTAAGATTGGCGGGTTGCAGGTCTTACCGCAGACTGGAGAATGAACTGGATATCGGGATGCAGAGTACTCAGATTCGATGAGGCATTTGCCGGTACTGAGGGAGAAGGAGGAGCCGTATCTGAAAGGTGTTGGTCCAGTGTTGAAGCCACTGAAGCTGCCGGTACCGAAGGGGCCCCATGGTTCATCGAATGAGCCATGCTGTCAGATTGAGTGAAGGAAGATCCGGGTGACGAACAGCTCTGTTCTGTTGAGTGATTAGATGAGGTATGAGAGGCAGTCGCTGGAAGGTGTTGCCGGACAGACGGAGAAGAGTAGGGAACCATGGTTGACGGGGCCACCAGGAAGTGATGAAGATTCCCTGGGCATTGTCGTAAGTGATCTTAGCAAGGACTCTCGTTATAAGTGGAATTGGGGGAAATGCGTAAAAGAACATGTTCGCCCAGGGGATCATGAGAGTGTCTCCTTTCGAACCCAGACCAATGCCTGCGCGGGAGCAGAAACATTTGCCTGAACAATTTGCTCCTGAAGAGTGTCCTCGAATGACCAAAGGGCTTTGAAGATTGCCAGCAGTTCTAGGTAATTGATGTGTTTGGCGGTCTCCCGACAGTCCCAGGTGCCCTGAATATGGAGTCCGGCACAGAGGGCTCCCCACCTGGTAAGGGAGGCTTCGGTGAACAGAGTCAGAGTTGGGTGTGGCAAACAGAATGGAATGCTGACGGACAGATTGTTTTGCATAGTCCACCATGATAAGGTCTGGTGGACAGAGGTTGGAAGGCAGAGAAGCTGCTGAGGTGAGTCTCGTTGGGGTTGGAAGAGACCATTGAACCACAATTGGAGGGGCCTCATCTGCAGTCTGGCATGGGGAACTATGGAGACTGTGGAGGCCATGTGACCGAGGAGTTTCTGCACCGATAGTGCTGGAACAGTTCTGTCCATGTGGATTTGACGGATTGATGCACGAAGATTGTCTTGTCATCCTTGTGGAAGGAAGGCTTTCACCATCGTAGAGTAGAGATGGTCTCCAATGAAATTGATGATCTGTGAGGGAGCAAGACGCGATTTCTCTTGGTTAATACATAGTCCCAAATTATCCAAGAGGGTACAAGTAGTCTGAATCGATGATCGAAGGCCTTCTCTAGACAAGGAGACAATCAACCAGTCATCCAGGTAAGGGTACACTTGAATGTCCTGGAGCCAAAGATGCACGCACACTGGGGCCATGCATTTTGTAAAGACCCGGGGGGCAGTAGCCAGTCCAAACGGCAAAATGTTATACTGAAACAGGTCGGAACCAACGGTGAACTGAAGAAGACGCCTGCGAGACAGATGGATGGTAATATGGAAATAGGCATCCTTTAAGTCCAGAGAAGTGAACCAATCCTCTCTCCTAAGCAACGGAAAGATGTTTTGAAGGGTGGTCATCCGAAATTTCTTGGTTTTGATGAGCCTACTGACGTCACGTAGATCCAGTATTGGACGAAGACCACCATCACGCTTAGGAGCCGTGAAGTATCTCGAGTAGAAGCCGTGTAACCTCTCAGAAAGTGTGAGTTGTCATATCGCTCCTTTATGAAGAAGCTGTTGAACTTCGTCTACAAGAACCGATGACTGAGGCATAAATCGGATCGGTCCCGGCAGGGGTAAAGTATTGAACTTGATTCTGTATCCATGCTGTACGATGCATAAAACCCACTGATCAGATGTGATGGACTCCCAAATGGGTAGTTGACTTTGCAGTCGATCCCCAAAAGAGGGGAAGGTGAGTTCAGGAGAAGAGGAGAGGTTCGCTTGGCCCGTCAGTGCTGGCATTTGTCTGAATCAGGGTGACGAAGGCTCTGTTGGAAACGTTGCTGTTGTTGCTTCCGGAGCTGTTGGTGAGGCTGGAATTGTTGTCGGCCCGAGAATTGTGAATAGGGCTGATACCGGTAGGATGGGCGGGACTAAGGCCACTTACGGTGAGATTAGGGACTTCCATCCAACGAGCTGTAACCCTCGACTCATGGATTGTCTTCATCTTGTGGTCCGT